AGGGAAAGACAATGAACTTGGGGAGAGGGGGTGAGATTCTGGCTTAAACTTAAAGGAGGGATGGGATCCTACATAGGATGGAAGGGGTGGAATAAATATTTTAAATAAATAACGCTCTCAACCATTTCCAGTAGTAAAAAACTATGATTATTTTGAGCATTTTCCCTTCCTTCTTCAGACGGAAGTCAGAATCATCCTTATGAAGAGCTGTACAAATTGGGGAGAGGCAAAGAGATGCCTATAGAAACACCAGCTCTCTTGACAAAAGAAAGGTAATGCCCATTTCTGAGGAAATGGGGAGGCCAGGAGCACAAGATGGGCCTAGACTTCCCCCAGTCCACCCCTACAGCCATTGTCTGTAGCTTTAGCTGGTATGTGAGGAGCCAGGGTTCCCACATCCTTGCTGGAATCTGTCTGAAACAGACCTTAATCGACTGCAAGCTTAGGAACAAGCTTAACAGGACAAGCTACCTTCAAAACCTCTATAGCACTGAGAAAAGGGAGGAGGTAGGAAGCAAGTTTCTCAACTGTCCTCCACCACAAGCTGTATGCTGCAATAATTCAAGTTTTTTGTGGATCCCCATGTCTGTGATACACCTTCCTTTTGTTGAATACCACACGAACCATTAGAAAGTCTCCCTTCTCTTCCATCTAGTTCATGCCAGGGGAGGATATCAGTTCCTCACAAAAGATTCAACAACACACCATTACATCACAGGAGGTGATCCTCTTGAAATCCTCCAGTATACTTTCTGGGGCAATGGTGGCCAAACCTGCACAATTCATGCCTCAAGGGAAGACCCAGGAAGACCTGCAGGCAATGTTCCCTCTAAGCTCCAGTGTTGTGAGCAAAAATTCTACCTCGTGAGTGAAAAAAGCTAGTAACATTAAAGTTGTGAGTGAGTCTACATTTGACTATCACATAAATTAGTTTTTTAGAAGATTATTTACATAACCATGTAAAAATCTCAGAATGAATTCTTTTAAACTATATTTTAAGAATAATTTAAACATTATAAGAGAACACAGAATCAAGTCAAATTTCATTACAGAAAATGTTGTCCTCTATGGGGGTAGATCAGTCCTCTGGAGAACGGGTCTACCTGCCCCTTTCCACCCGACCTCCGGAGAACAGGTCTACCCACCCTTTCCACTATATTGGTAGACCGGGCCTCTAGAGAACAGACCTACACAACCCAGTCCACTATATTGGTAGACCTGGCCTTGGACCGTCACCCTGCACTGAGTGTTAGAAAACATACCAGCACTTGGGGGGGGGGGGCCTCTTGCAGTCTACTTTGGTTTTTTTTTTTTTTTAGTAAGATATGACAAATTTACAGGTCAAGTATAATAGAATTGGGACAATCATTGTCAGAACCCTGCCTAACCTAACAAACAGGAAGTTGCTTAAATGTTATCAACCTGCCCAAACTACTAATTTATTCAAATATTTATACCCCACTTTTCCTGTGACTCAAGGCAGCTTTTAGATCATACTGAAAAGCATAATAAAGGTGTGCAAAAATATATATAATTTTTTCCTGCTCCATTATAGCCTATGGGGACCATTATAGTCAATGGGTTCCACGGGCTATAATGGAGGGGGAAAAGGCTTGTGGGCAGGAAGCTGAAACCCGTGAGCAGCCGGCTAAAACTCTGTGTCCCAGCACCCCCCAGCACAGCTTAGAGGGAACACTGCCTGCAAGCAGCAAATGAGTGCAGTGTAGTGGCTCAAAAGAATGGCCTGTCATCTGAGATGCCTCTGCTGGAACCTCACCTCTGTCATGAACACACTAGCTGGCCTTCTATAAGTCACACTCTCTCATCTGCAATATGAAGGAAATAATACTGGCCTGCCTTACAAGCAGGGGTCATTTTGTAGAAAAAGAGCTAGGGGAACTCATTAGCATAACTCATTAGCATATGCCACACCCTCTAATACTTAAGAGTCAAGTTGTAAGACCATTTACAATGTGTAATCCAAAGCATGACAATGTCATCTGGATTTCCATGTTTAGGATCATGATGAAATAGAAAACTCCTATTTGGGTGGCATGCAGCAGGAGCCTCAGTCTAGATGACGTTCCTAACCCTTCTAGAGTTCTAATCAGGGAATTGCAGTGTCCCATGTAGTTTGGTCCTTGGCACTGAGGAGTTGTATTTATTTATTTTCTTTATTTATAGCCCTGTTTTCTCACTGAGACTCAAAGTGGATTACAGAATTAGAAAATAATGTAATGAAGACGGTAAAATACAAACAATAGTTAAAAAAGAATTGGAGAACAATGCAAAAATGATAGTATAATACAACAAACAATGCAATAAAACAAGGCTATGGTATTGTAAGGATTAGCTGCTGATAACCTATAGATCTTACAGCCCTCATCAACCATTAGCTGTAAATTCTCACAGATTGAGACCTGGCCGGTTTCAAGAGGAATTGGCTGACCGTTAACTGCGTGCAGCTGGCAGACTGGAGGAGGCTGGTGCAGGACAACATCTTCATGTAAGGAGCCACGTGGAGTTTAGGCCAGGAGGGGACAAGATGAATGCTGCCAGTGCAGACTCCTTTTCCCTCTGCCTGGAACGATAAGTTATTTTCAAGGAACTGCTCACAGTCCATGAAACAACTGTTTTTATTATGTCCATAAGCCAGTCTTTTAATTACTACTTGTCAGTGGCTTCCTCTTAAAGATTCTATTATTGTTTTGTGTTTCAGAATGGTTTCTGCTTTGCAAACATTCTATGAAACCTGATGTTGTTTTTAAATTCTTTTATTAAATGCTTTCTCTTTGTGCCTTGAGATACATGCTGAGTGCTTGCATTCCTCCCCTTGGATATGGACCCAATTCTGGCAGGTATACATTGGAGAATTGTGCAATTAAACAGTATAATATATAGGACAAAGAATGCAATAAAGCATGATTATGTATGTATGTCCCATCAGGTAGCAACTGACTTATTGCAAGCCCAGCCAAGGGACTTCCAAGGCAAGAGAGAGGCAGAGATGGATTGCCATTGCCTTCCTCTGCAGTGTCTTCCTTGGTGGTCTCCCATAGAAGTATTGTCCCTGCTTAGTTTCTGAGACAAGATTGGGCTATACTATACCATTCCACATCCAAAACTGGGTTCCAAAATGAGAAAACAATGCAAAAATTGTATCATAAACAATGCACGTGCCAAGGTTAGTAAAGCTAGCATTATAAGCTTCCTAGTTTATGGGGGCAGTAGCATTTTCTGGTACTTAAGCTTTGGGTGGGTGGGTGAGTGTGGGGGAATTGTGTGCACTTTCTAAAAAGTGGGAAGTGCAGATTTCTTCAGGTTTCAGCTCATGCATCCCTGGTCTTTAGACATTAGATATGTAACACACCTACACTCCCTGGCACCCGCATCCACAACTACCTATCCAGCCTGTGATTTGCACGACTTTAATAATTCTAATCACACCCATTATGTAATTCAAAAGTCTGTTAAATAAGGTCAGAAACTTGTGCAGACAGGCTATTGGGGGGGGGGGGATATACAGAAAAGGAGCTAGGACACAGATAATGAAACTGGGTGCAGGGCTTGGAGTTGCAAACAAGCAAATACTTCTACTTTAACCGTAAAATGTTGGAGGGAATATAATGGAGGGTAGGGAGACTGACTCCAAATGTTCAGAGAAAAGGAGTGCGCTAGCAATTCGTGCTCAAGCATCCCTAAAGCTGCGACCTCCCCGCCAACAGGGGGAGTCAACGACAGCGCTCCGTGAACAAATAATTCTCCCACCCCAAAGGGCAAAAGCCTCGCTACGATTCAGAAAGGACGTTGGGTTCCGTTTGTAAGTCAACGGAATCCTCCATGCGCGGGGCAAAAGTAATGGATGTAAACAGCAATTAAATTCAAGTATGGAAAGCGGGCTTATAGGCTATTTCGCTGTATCGTTATCTACTCTGTGCACTAAACACTCGCTTTTTGCTGACCCTTGGTACTAATTTGTCCCACACACCAGCATCCAATAACTTCTTTGTTTTAAAACAGTCCCAGAGAGCTCTTTTAACAAAAGAACACTTTCCAGAGGCGAAGCAGAAACGAAGCGCCTAAATCTGCCTGCTTAGCTTAAGTGGAAGTTTCGGACATGAATTCCTAGCGCGCGCACTCCTCCCTTTCACCTACTATCGCAGACCAGAACACCTTTAGAGACGTATGACGTCACATTATGACATACTTTAATTGACAGCCCTATAGGCGTGACTCCACTTACTCGCGCCGCCCTCAGGCGCCACGGCCGACGGTTGCTTAGCCTCTGCCCTAGCGGCCGTTACGCGTCGCGTTGGATTTGTAGCTAAGGGGGCCAATCAGGAAGCGCACAGGTGTGCGTGGGCATGGCCTCGACGTCCGGCCAATCAGCGGTAGGCGCGGCTCACTTAAACGCCTGTGCGGCGGCTAGGAAAGCGTCTCGTGTTTACTTCACTGGCGTTTCTCGTTGAGGGCTGGAGATGCCGAGCCGTCCCGAAGATTACGAGGTGCTGGTCACCATTGGCGCTGGCTCTTACGGTAGATGCCAGAAAGTGCGTCGGAAGGCGGACGGCAAGGTGAGTGGGGTGGGGGGTGAGTGGAAGGCTATTCAGGTGCCCCCAGGACTTCAGCACTGCTGCTGGGGCTGCGTGGGAAGAGGCTGCCCTGGATCACATGCGCGAGGTCCCGAGATCGAATCGTGTGTGGTTGGCCAGTGGCCGCCACTCAAATCAGACATGTGATGCATGCGCATTCCGGTTTTCACGGGTGCCCACAAACTGTAGTTTAACGGTTCCGGAGAGAGAACCATGTTGGTCTGTTATAGCAAAATTCAACGGATGTCCACTGGCTTAAACCTATTTTTATTTTAGGGTAAGGGTTCATGAGTCGAAGCTCAGTTCCCCATGCACACAGTGTCTATCCAAGGCAGTTGTAGTGATGCATATAGATCAAGCAAAATGTATCACCGTCAGGGTTTGCATGGACGCTTTATGCATCTGGTGGATTGAGCCCTGACTCAGAGTTTATGGTGGTTTAAGTGATATCTGTGACTCTGGCCCTAACCCGTGGACAGCTACATGGAATTTAATTCAGTGTCAGAGTCTGTCTTCATTGCCAGAGACCAGCCTTGGCAAAAAGCCCAGTGTCCCTCGCAGCTGGCCTGGTAGTTTCCTTTCTTTCACTCAACCCCGCAAGCCCATCTGCTGCTTGTTTGAATGGGAAAGCATTTAAACACAGAGTGTATGAGTCTTGTTTCTGTGTTAGTATCTCTTGTTCTAGCAGAGCACTTGCTGGCTAAAGGATATGTTACCCTTGTGGAATGAAAAGCAACTCTACTGAGATGCTGCTCAAAAGGCTAATCTGTTATCTTCTCCCTCCTCCCTTGCTTACCCATTGCTACTCTTGGTCCCTATTTCTGCTTTTCTTCTCACCCTCTGAGCTTGATGAGGCAGAATTTGGTTCCTCAGGTAGTGAGGGGAGATAACAAATGGCTTCTGTGCCAACCCTTATGGGGTCTGCAATACCTGTTTGGTGTAGTGGTTAAGAGTGGCAGACTGTAATCTGGAGAACCGGGTTTGACTCCCCACTCCTCCACATGAATCCACTTGGGTGACCTTGGGTCAGTTACAGCTCTCTCAGAGCTTTCTCGGCCACAGGGTGTCTGTTATGGGGAGAGGAAGGGAAGGTGAAGCCACTCTGAGTGAAGGGTGGGGTATAAATCCAACTCTTCTTCTTCTAGGAGGTGCATAAACCCAGATTAAATTATTTTTAGGTGTTCTATAGCTACACAATGTGGTGTCACTAGTTAGAAATTGTCTTGTTTTGAAATAACTTGTTGTTTCCCTTAGCAACAAGTACTTAGTGGTGCACTGCCTCTGAACTTGAAGAGGTTCCATTTAATTACTGTGGTTAATAGACACTGCTGGATCTTTCCTTCATGAATTTGTCTTATCCCTTTTTAAAACCATCTAAGATCAGCACATCTTATTTTATAGGATTGTCTGTAAAATGTGATTGGCAGCATAATTAAGCCATTCAGTTTCAAAATTTCTGTACAGTTACACAAAAGTTCTTGATACATGTACAAACTTGAGATGTCTTGTTCTACTTTTTCCCCAGGTGTTAGTCTGGAAAGAACTTGACTATGGATCTATGACAGAATCAGAGAAACAAATGCTTGTTTCTGAAGTGAATTTACTGCGTGAGCTTAAACATCCAAACATTGTCCGCTATTATGATCGCATAATTGACAGAACAAGCACAACTCTTTATATAGTGATGGAATATTGTGAAGGAGGAGACTTAGCTACTCTGATAGCTAAGTGTACCAAAGAAAGGCATGTAAAACCTCTTTGAATTATTTGACATTGTTTGTAACACTGCCTAAACTAAATCTTTTTAGCATTCTTAGTAACTAATTTACTACAACTTTTTACTACAACTTTTTATTTACTTTATTTTGTCCACCTTTCTCATTGAGGCTTAAAACAGGTTAGAGTGATAAAGACAGTGTCATGCATACCATGAACAATGCAGTAAAACTGGATTGCACAAAGTGAAGACCATTGAAATAGAAATAGTATAATAAATTACATAAACCAAATATAATAATTCTAGTATGCTGAACTACAGACAATATAATACATCCATTAAGCAGTGCAGTTTTAAGAGGGAAGAAAAGAAGGCTTACAATACATCCATTAAGCATTGCAGTTTTAAGAGGGAAGAAAAGAAGGCTTCTTAAAATACTTACGTTGAAGGAGCTCACTACTACATCTGATAGCTTAAAGGGCCATAAGAAAAGAGAAGCTGTGCTGGATCAGGCCAATGGCCCATCCAGTCCAATGCTCTGTCACACAGTGGCCAAAACCACACTGTCATCAGGAAGTCCACCAGTGGGGCCAGAACTCCAGAAGCCCTCTCAACTTTTGCTCCCCAAGCACCAAGAATACAGAACATCACTACTTCAGACATAGTGGTCCATCTATTACTTGTAGCTAATAGCCACTGATGGACCTCTGCTCCATATGTTTATCCCCTCTTGAAGGCCGCTGATACAAGGGGCAGGAGGGGCTGTTAACAGCATGGCATACTGGGCATTACTGTTAAATGTGAATGTCAAAGGCACAGAAATCGTCACTGCTACAGAACAAGTAATGTCCTTGCATTGCATCTTTGACCCCAGTAGCATTTAATGAAACTCCATCTTAGTAAAACTGCTTATTTTAGTATTAGACCTCTACATTTAGAGTTGTAAAATAGTCAAAATCCTCTGGCCTTCAACACTTTACTTAATTATGTAGTTAAGCAGCACCTCTGTTTTGATATTGTATATCCCATTTATTATGTCTACTTCAGCACGAATCCCTTTGTTTCAGCATTGTATATCCCGTTTATTAAAAATATGTAGCCCTGGTAAGCTCAAACATCAACATTTGGGGTGACTTTATAGTTAGGGTCTGGAGACACTAGAAAGCTGTTAAATTTCACTCACTATGTTTTCAGCTAGCAAAATGCCTGTTGGTATGTGCTGATGGAGTGCTTGAATACTGTAGCAGCCCCTATACATGTACAGTTCTGTGTGATCTCCTGATAAACCTGCTTGCTGGCTATTCCAGCAGGATTCTTGTTGGCCTTGCCAGGCCTGGTACTGAAAGGTGAGGGTAAGTTTGCCTCACTGAAAAAATGCTTTGAGTGCAGTGCTTTGCTTTACCCTGTAGAGATGAATAGCAACCATTTTCTTAATAGGGAAATAGTAAAAGGGTGTGCTTGGACACCAGTGTGTGGTATCTGGATGCCGATGGAACTAAGTCTGTCTCACAATCCCTGCCTTCAGAAGTAAGGTGGGTGGCTACTAGAGGCAGGGCTTTTCAGTAGTGGCACCTTGCTTATGGAATGCTCTTCCCCTTGAGGCTCACTTGGTGCCTGCATTGTTCTCTTTTAGGCACCAGGTCTAAACATTTCTGTTCAGCCAGGCTTTTAATTAAGGATTTTTAAAAACACTATTTTAGTCTGGAAACTATTATTTAAAGCTGTCAGGTGTCTGTCTTTCTGGCCTATGCTTTAATGCTGGGCTGGCTTTTTGATGCCGGATTTTAATATCGTTAATGTTTTGCTTATTTTTCTTTTGTAAGCTGCCTTGGGCAGGTTTCTGGAGAGACAATGTACCGTTTTCTAAATAAATAACATCTCTCTAGGCCTGGTATACCCAGTATTAGAAGACTGAGCCTGCTTCTTTGTGCATAGGGCTCAGTTCTGTTTTATTGAGTCACTAGAATAATAGGAATTTGGAAAGTGGTTGATGGAGTTCTATGGAGTAGGCTTTGGCTTAAAGTGCTGAAAATAACCTGTCCCATTCTCTTTTCAAAGACATTATTTAGATGAAAAGTTTGTTCTTCGAGTTCTCACGCAGTTGGCCTTGGCCTTGAAGGAGTGTCACCGGCGGAGTGATGGTGGTCGTACTGTTCTTCATCGGGATCTAAAGCCAGCTAATATCTTTCTTGATCACAAGAAAAATGTGAAACTTGGAGACTTTGGACTAGCCAGAATACTGCACCATGACACCAGCTTTGCAAAAACATTTGTTGGTACACCCTACTACATGTCTCCAGTAAGTATCTGTCTCAGTTGCATTTTACTCCACCGTTCTTCCAAGTCAGTAGAGGTGGTGTACATGGTGGTTTCTATGTTATCCTTTTAACAATCTTGTGAGGTAGCTTAGGTTGAGACTTGTCTAAGGCCACTCAATGATCTTCATGGCTGAAAGGGCTTTTAGCCTGGTTCTTCCTTGTCCTGCTCTCTAATAACTGTACTACGCTGGTTCTCTTTGGTGTTTTTCTTTGCTTAAAATCTGACCAGTAGTTAGCTTATTCTCTTCCCCCTTTTCAGGTAAGCAACTCTTAACTTAATCTGATAGTTTTGACTCTTGAAAGGACATATCCTGGAAAATCTGCTGGTCTCTAAGGTGCTACTGGAATTGAAATCTAGTAAATCAAAACCTATGTCTTGCAAAACAGTACTGAGAGGCAGCTGCTATCCTTACAGCTACAATAGTAGACTTCCTCTCTTTTAGTATTTCTGATGGCAAAACAAGGGACTCAGGAAGCAGCAGTACTTCTGTAATATGCTGAGAGGCAAACAAAGTTACCAAGGAATTGAACTGCATTGAGAAGTGTGTGGTTTTTGAATGCTTCAGCTTTAAAACATTTGTGAAGAACTGCTTATATATAAATTCAGAGCCACTATTTTTTTACTACTAATTACTTTGGTGGGTGTTTTGTTTAACTCGTACATTACCGTGCATTTATTCTTAAGATTCTAAATCTAAGGTTTGTATTTTATTTTTAGGAACAAATAAATCGCATGTCCTACAATGAGAAATCTGACATCTGGTCTCTAGGATGCCTGCTATATGAGTTGTGTGCATTGTCGTAAGTACAGTTCTGTAGGCAGCTACATGAAGATAACTATATGCTGCTTTTAAGTTTAGTCATGGTTTTGAAATCAGAGTTGGGTACCATAATGTTCCAGAACTGAGCAGTGTCTCTTTCAAGCGGATCCTTGATGTGAAATTGAAGGGCACTTTCACTTCGTCTAGGCCTCCATTTACAGCCTTCAACCAAAAAGAGTTGGCAGAAAAGATAAGGGAAGGAAAGTTCAGACGAATTCCATACCGTTATTCAGATCAGCTGAATGATCTCCTCACAAAGATGCTGAGCTTAAAGGTAAGGGTGACTTCCCAAAGTAGGAAGGATAGAATGAAGATACATGTAGAATATTTATTCACATATGGGGCCGTCAAGTCCCCCTCTTTACTTTCAGTGGGTATACAGTTTTTTTCTTATAGCCCCCCCCCAATAACCACTTGTACATGACTTAAGGAAGTTTGAGGACCTTCCAGAGTAAAGTTGATGCCACACAAGTGGCTGCAGTTGGAACAGAAAATCCATGTAGTTCTAGTGCGTACTGTATCATCCGGGTGGATGTGTGTGTGGTGTGTGGAATTTCTTGGATCCCAGAATTTGGATCCTCAAACAGAATGATTCTTCCCTTTAAAATATGAAAGTTGAACATTGCATATCATGAGCCTTTCCTGCTTCAAGGACTATTGTCGGCCTTCAGTTGAAGAAATTCTGCAGAGCCCAGTGATAGCAGAATTGGTGTCAGAGGAGCAAGGGAAGAACTTGGAGAGACGAGGGCGAAGATCGGAAGGGCAAGAAAAGGAAGAAAGACTGCGTCATTCAGGAACTCCATTGAGTGAGCTGAAACTGAAGGAGCAACAGCTGCAGGAGAAGGAGAGAGCAATAAAAGAGAGAGAACACAGACTGGAACGTAAGAAAACAAATCTTGCAACAGGATGTATGGACAGAGGATTTTTTAAAACTTTCTTTTAATTAATCATTTTATTTGAAATACAGATGCAAAAACATTTCACAGAGACATAATATAAAATTCTAACAACCAGAAATGTAAAATTATTTTTAAAAATCCTTATAAATACCTCTAGGAGGGATTATATCATTTTCTGAAAGGTGTTGCAAAATTGGGTACCAGACAGAGGAAGATTTAGTACCATAGTTAGCATTAGTAAGTTGTGTTATACTATCTGCTAACTTAGCCATAACTTAGCCATAATGAAATGATCCCACACTTTTTTGTACCGTAGTTTTATGCTAGGTGCTTTAGGGTTTTTCCAAAATGTCGCCACTGTCAGTTGGGTGGTTGCAGTAAGGGCACTAACGGCTTCTACTTTATCTTTCCGCAGTTGTAAATCTAGCCAGTATGTCAATAAAAATGATTCTGGGAGAAATGGCAGCTCTGTCCCCTATATATATATATATTCAGCGCCAAAAGGATTAAATCACAGGGCATTCCCACCAACAATGTATATAAGAACCAGGGGCATTACAACCCTTCCAGCAAAGAGCTGAGCTAGATTGGAAAATATGAGAAAGTCGTTTTGGCGTAAGATACCACCTTGTATACAACTTGAAACATTGCATTTTAACTGAGTACACTTTAGAACAGTTGTTTGAAGGTCATTAGATGTCACCCCATTGGTTTTCCCTGACCCTACCATCACAATCAAGCCTCCAAGCCTTTTGGTAAGAATTTAAACAGGTCTGAGTTATCTGGAACACTATTTTATATAATTTAGATATCAAGCCCCTGGATTCTGAACCATTATGTTTCAACAGAGTTTCAAAGGCCGTTAGAGGATTTTTGAAATTTCCCAGCTTAAATGGATGGTCTAATATTGTTTTAGCTTGCAAGTATTGGAACCATTGAATCTCTATTCTGTATTGACGTTCAAGGGATTGTTTGTCCAAAACTTTGCCTTTATAAGATGTTCTATTCTTGTTATACCAGTGTCCCACCACGATTTAAAGGCCCCAGAATCTTTTGCTGGAGGGAACCATAGATGGAGTCTGTAGGTAGACATTGGGGAAAGACTAGCTCAAACTGTGTCCCATATTTGCAACGAGGTATATAAAAATAAATCCTAAACATGCGGGGACCACGCCAGATCTGCAAGCAAATTAGGATATGCAGCCATATTCTCTATAATCAACCAGTTATCTTTTACTGTGGGGTCAAGCATTTAAAAAATGCTGACCAAATTGGCTACAAGATAATAATATTTCAGTACTGGAAGGCCCAGCCCCCCTCGTTCTCTTGGTGGGTACATCAGAGAAGATTTGAATCATGGTCGTTAGTTGGCCCAAACAAAATTATCAAATGCTTTCTGCTAAATAAATAGGGAGTGTTCAAAATAGGAACAAGAATTTTGGAAGCATAAAACTTCTTAAAATCTGAATCCTATCCAGCCATGAGAAAGTGTTCTCCATCCATATCGAGAACTGAGTTAACATAAACTGCTGCAGTGGTGAATACTTTCCTTTAGAAGTAATGTGGACTCCAAGATAATAAGAGGTTATCCAGTTATATAATAGAATTAACTCAAGTTCCTGCTTCCATGAATGTGCAATATTTATTGGATAGATTTCAGACTTAGATTCATTGACCTTAAGACACGATTTGTTGTTGTTGTTCAGTCGCACAGTCGAGTCCGACTCTTCACGATACCTGACTAAAAACCTCAAGCGCTGAATTTCAGGGAGAGAATGGTCCATATTCTCTCATCAGCAGCATAAAGAGCAATCTTATTATCCACCTCTCCGGTCATTACTCCTTTTATATTTTCATTATTTCGTATCATGGTTGCGAGACGTTCCATTGCCAAGGCGAACAGGAGTGGGGACATTGGGTAACCCTCTCTCCATAGCAAATGGATAAGAAGACAAACCATTGAGCTGGATTTGTGCAACTGGGCTATTGTATATAGAAGAAATCACCCTTTTAAATCTATCCCCAAAGCCCATACAATGTAGTAATTCATACAGATATTGTGGTTCCACTGAATCAAAAGCCTTCTCCATGTTGAAAGACAGGAGAAGAGCTGACTGACTATGAATTTTGCAGAAGTTTATAATATCCAGAATTCTCTGGATGTATGGCCAGTGATAAGATGTCCCTTGTGAATCCCTTCAGTGTCATGAGCTTCAGCTGTCCCAGGAACATCTCTTGGTAACCTAGCCTGTGTGTCAAATTAGTAAGCAGGAGAACAAAGAATGAAATTCTCAATTTTACCTTGGAATTTCACAGTACTGGTACCTAAATATTAAGTTAAATCACCTCCCATTTAGTCATTGTAGCTAAACACATGCAACACAAACACAACATGCTCGCTGTTTATCTGGCCTATTTGGTCAAACTCAGTGAGTGACTGCTGTCTCTTATCATCAAAGGAACGTACAAAACATATGGGATGTGCATTTTCCATGGGAAAGGGTTGAATTACACCTCTGACATAGTACTTAGTTATTCACTCTGACCAGTAGCTATTAGTCCCTTTTGGTCAAGGAAAGCGGTTTGCTGGTTGCTAACATCAATCTAAAGTTTCTTGTCTCCACCTTCCAGAGAGAGAGCGGGAGCTGTGTGTTCGGGAGAGACTAGCGGAAGACAAACTTGCTAGGTATGTTCTTAAAAATCAAGTGTCGTATTGCCACAGAAGCTTTGCTGTCACTGATTGACTCTATTCTAAACAGGGCTGAGAGCTTGATGAAGAATTACAACTTGTTGAAAGACCATCGACTTTGGCTGCCAACAAATAGTCCAGGTAGGAGAAGAAATTGGAGGCCACTGCAGGACTACTAAACCAGGAATGCAGAATCTTCCAGCCTTTGTATAAATATTGACCTTTGTAGTGATTACCTCTGTAGTGGATATCTGTATAGCCCTCCTGAATTTATGATCTTCCCACTCCCATAATTCCAGACTAGAAGCAATCCAGCATGGGATTCATATAGCTATAAGAAGTGGGTCTGAATAAGACTGGTGGTATGTTTGGATAATGGTCTTTTAGCAGTAGTGAGTGCAGATAACTGGGGTGGTAAAAAGCCTCCCTTTCTGTGTAGCAGACTGAGCCAAGGGATTGGGGGGGGGGGCGCCTCTAACATGCTGCATTCTATGAATATAGTCTTGTGAAATTCATCTGGCCTTGACCAAAACTACATCTTGGTGATACTCTGGCAAACAAAGACCTGAACAGCCAAGTATGTAGGCAAACATAAGCCAAATCCAGTCCTAATAACATTTCTATACAAGTTGTAGCAGGAGACCTCATGTCATGCATGGACATAGCCCACTAATCAACTAGCCCTTTCTAGCCTTAGACCTGTGTATAATAGTGTTTGTGTTTTGACTCTGGAATAGACTGTAATTTGACCTTTAAATATGGTACTTAATAAAACATATTTTTACTTACCATTTAGTTCAAATGGCTGCATAAACCAGGCTTCTATGGACTAGACAGAGTCTATGATAATTTCAGACTACAGTATTTTGAAGGCCCTTTAGAATAGGAGTTTTAGATGCCGTCAAACATAACAATGCTGGAATAGTTAATGAGAAACACATCAGCACTAATCTACCTTGACTGTAGCTACTTTTCTATGCTATCACACACTCGCTTTACTGCAGCTTGACTGTTTACCTGTTGTATAAGATGGGATCCAAACAGCGAGGTGGACTTTTGACTTGATTTGAAGGGAGATCTTTGCCGCATAGGTTCCAAAACGGTCATTTAGAAGCAGTTTGCCATGCACTATGAAGAAGTTGGTGCTCAAGAAACAGGACCTCTAAGCCTCTTTACATATGCCAGATTAGTAGTATGCTTCTTCTTGTGCCTGCCATATTGACTTGCCATGCCAAAGCCTTTGCCAATTGTTACTATGCTACTATTGCATAAGGAAAGAGCTTGCCAAACTGATTTCTGCTGGCTAGTGTAGCTCTCTGGAATTTGAGCTCTATAGGTCATAATTACATGGTGCTGGCAGTCTGTTCACTGATGGAAATAACACAGTGCTGTACCTTCTACTAATAATCTTGGCAAAAATAAGTCCTTGTAGAGAACGTGAATGGAGCTGATCTGACTACTAAATCCCAATGTTTAAGACCCCTGCTGCTTTATCAAGTAAATCCACATCAGTAGTGATGGTAACACAGAGCAGCTGCATTAGCTCAATGGGGACCCAAAGCAGCTTTACAACAACATTCTTCTCTCCTTCATTCTGACATCACAACAGCCCTTCAAGATATGTTAGGTTTAAAGAGAGTGACTGGCCCCAAGGTCAGAGTGGGGAGTTGATCTTGAGTCTACCAGAATTCTAGTCCAACGTTCTAACCACTGTACCACACTGGCTTTTTATTGCTAAAACACCCTATTTACAGGGTGGGACACTATGTAACATTGAACTCTCACTGAGAAAAATATGTAATATGCAGGCTTCCTAGCTTTGCTTAACTGCACAGGACCTGCAGTGAGACATTCTTGTGGGGCAGCTGTACTGGTCAGCAAGTCCAAAAAGTCTTATGGTACCTTAGACCAATTCTATTACAGGTTAGGGAGGTTTATGTTGCATTAAAACTGTAATTAGACCCAAGTATTAGAAGATATCTGAGAGGCTTCCAACCCCCAGCCCACTGCAGAGTTACCAGAGCGTTCCCTGCACATGCACAGGAAACACTCTTTTACTTTTTGGGGGGTTTAAATATCCCCCCTATATTTTTTCAACTTTTTAGATTTTTGTGCACACCTGGGGACTGCCCCAAGTGTGCAGGAAAATCTCCCTGCCCCCCAGGTGCCCCCAATGTGCGGATTTAGATATCCTCACGCAGGGTGCGCCTTCGCTATTAGATATATAGATGTGACTGACACTTCCAACGTAGTCAGATTAGAAGTTAGTCTCCCTTAAGTTCCTCTGATAGAGAAATGCTTTTTAGGTTGGCAACAGTGTGCTAGGAAAAAGACATGTTCTCCCACTGGCTTCTAAATGTTTACCACATTTGTAAGATTGGATCCCTTTATTATTTTGCATGGTTTGACCTATGTACAGAGCAGAAGGGTGTTTTCACAGATGCTAAATGAAACAGGTTCAGTGGCACCTTAAAGACTAACACCATTTCTTTAAAAATGAGCTTTTGTGAATCACAGCTAATTTCAGATAGGTGGCAGTCCTTACAACCTGCCTTGGAGGATGAGCGTGTACATGAGCATCTGCTAGTAGGTCATAACATGAGGATCTGCCCTAACATCTGAAGTGGGTTGTAGTTAACAGGAGCTTATACCAGAATAACACTTTGTTGGTTTTAAAATGGCTTATAGGCTAATGCAGTTTTATAAAAACTGTACTATACAATGATCTGGAAACAGAATGAACCAGAATCTCCACATTTGTTTGTGTGGCTCCAACAGCCTGGAGTTTCTTGACTAAGGACTGGGGTGCTGCCAAAGATCAGCAGAACATTCATGTTTCAGTCTCATCCTCGCTTGCTCCATTGCTTAGGTCTCATAACATAATCAAAATAAAAGAATGAAATGATGTTGCAGCCGTAGGCCAAGTGAAGTCTTACATTCACTGTTAAAATCAAGCAATTCCTTGTGTTTTTAGTTGTTCAGGAAACAAGCCCCGTAACCACCACTGTAAACTACAGATAACTTACATATTGTGGAGAAAGCCACTATAATGTTTGTATGTGTACATGCATACGTGTCCTAGGATACTGGTGGAGTATGACAGCATTTGGGGGACAGAACCTTGATTTCCAAGTTACAGAATGCCATAGTTAACCACTGACTTCACAATTACCACTTCTTAAAATATCTCTAATGACTTGTTCACCATAGTGTTCAGTAAGAGCAGCAGCACGTTCTTGTTATGGACAGCAACGGACACACAAATTTAGCTTTACAAACTCAAAGAGCAGTGTTAATTGTGTGACATTTTCACAGACTAGTTAAAACAATGAAATGGTCATGCAGGTTCTTTTTAATGAGGCTTTTTCTGTAATTCTCGTACATTTAATGCTAGAAGTAAGGCACAGCTATGTCAAACTTCTACAGGAATATCTGCTCGCCTTTGCTCATGTAAATGCAGCCTGATACAGAGGCTGTGTGAAAGAAGGAAATTAGGGAGATTTTTTTTGATCTGGACATATGACCCTTGCAAATGGCCTGATATAGCTGTGGAAACTTCCCATTCTCAGCAGCAAGATATTCTCCTGTAGCTGATTATGAAAGTTTTCCACCTCAAGGGGGGCAGAGTAAACCAGAGGTTAGAAAATTGGTTTTTTAGTACTGACAAGGATTTTTCTGTGTCTTGTTAAGATGATGGTGATGCATTGCCAAACTTCCCTGCAAGAAAAAAGAAGGTTCAGTTTGGTGAGGAAAGTAAAGAAAATGCTCAATTGAGTGACAGCCTGGAGTATTTCCCTTCCTCAAAAGACAAGTTCCCTAATCTGAAGAAGCGCCTCTATGCTGCCAACCTGCGGGCCCAAGCTCTGGGTGAACTGGAAAAACATTATCAGCTGAAAAGCCGGCAACTCCTCGGGATGCGTTGAAGCAGTGTCTTGTTAACATTGTACAGAATTGTGATGCTTTAATGGTTGTTTTAAGCTTGTCTTTGTGGAAAAGCTGTGTAAGTTGGTTTTAGAAAAGCTTGTTATAAGTTTATTTTTTTTACTGTAAAACAAAATCAGTACGTGAAGGTCTCTCCTCTTGTTTTTATGTCAGTTTGCATTCTTCTGTCCTCTGCTTACTGGTATTTCATGAACAGAGCTATTTAGTCCTAACATTAAATATGCATGGAGGAGTTAGGAGCAGGCTGACTGTTGTGACTGGGATGTGATTTTTAGCAAGGAGCATGAAGCAAGAATGTTTGAAGAGATTCTACTCAGTTGGAATGAAGCACAGAATGCCAAACATTTGCTCTGCATCTCTATCAAATATGTGTGTTCTGCTTGTTTAAACTCATTGGGTATCTTCTCTAAGTGCTTTATCAGCATAAAGCTGCAGTGAGTGAGCACAATGTCTGTTTCTTCCCTGTTACTAAGTTTGGATTACTGCCATGGTAGAGTTCTCTGAACTTGTGACACGTTGCATAATAGAAAAGCCCCACAGTTGCCTGTTCAAAAAGAGGCTTGAGTTTCATATATCTAATTGTAGCCATATAAGTACTGGTCATCTCTCACCCCACCATTGATGATAAGGTGGGACTGAATGGAAATCAAAGTCAAAATCCGAAAGCATAAACATTCAGACATTTTGCCAGCCATTTGTTGTTGTGAGAAGGCAGCTGTCTCAGAGAAGTCTTTCTGCATAAAACAGCTTTAGAAACTCTACGAGCCCACCCACTTTGAAAATCTCCCTTTGAGATGCAGCCGATTTCAGAGATAGAGGGACACAAGTTCCCTGAGCGTGGTAGCAAGTCATGGAATGCAGAAATGTGAGTGCTTGTATGGCTAAAGGCAATAAATAAAGAATAATGAGAGAATCACATGAATGAGCTACCAGAAAAGAAAATCACTGTGAAAGCTTACTAATTATAAATTCATATCTTATTGTAGTTGATAAATACAAAATTGTACAAAAATTGTGTAATGATTAATATTATACAATACTGAGAATGAAGATTCCAATACAAATTTGTGAAGACATTTAAACCAGTATCTGGCAACTAGTCACACTAAAGTGCTATTCCATCATCCAGTTCAAGTGTACTGTTCTCAGAGGAAATATAGAAATTCCATGTGAATCCAGCTGACAGATTCACAGCTTATGAAAATTCAATTTCAGGCTTCCTCTTTCATCAAAGCTGGTATCGCTTAAAAATTCATTTCTGCTCCAAAAATTCAAAGTTTATTGGTTACAAAAAGGACTGGTACAAGAGACCAGCTGAGCTCTGAGCAGGAGATTGCGCTGGAGTAAATTCAGTTTTCTCCGTTGGTTTCAAAAAAGACTGGTACAAGTCTGCCAGCGCAATGCCTTTAGCAGACTTACACTAGCCCTTTTTGAAACCAATGGAGTAAACTTTGAATTTTTGGAGCAGCAGGAATGGATTCTTAAGCAATACCAACTTTCATGAAAGAGGAAACTTTAAATGGAATTTTCACAAACTAGCCCGCCATCATCTAGATTCACATGGAATTTCTACAATTCCTCTGAGAAGAATACACTTGAACTGAATGATGGAATAGCACTTTAGTGTGACTGGTTGCCAGATACTGGTTTGAATTTCTTTACAAATTTGTATTGGAATCTTCCATCTCAGTATTGTATAATATTAATAATCATTACACAATTTTTTGTATAATTTGTATTTATCAACTACAATAAGACATGAATTTATTATCAGTAAGCTTTCATGGTGATTTTCTTTTTTGTTGGTTCATAAGGCTGCTTTTTAAAAATAGCCTGCAGATGGTGCACCTGTTCTGTCAACCTGCAGGAGGCACACTGTGCCTGCATTCAGAATGGACTTGTATCTTAATCCCCAATAGTGTTTATTCTTCACCTGTTCTTCTCACCCAAGTCCCTGAATCCTGCCCTTCAGGTTTCCAGGGTTTGTCCTGAAGCAAACCCAGGCTGCTGTTCTGTTTCTTGTTGCCTGACCCTAAGTATGAAATATTTGGATTGCAGCCCTAAGTCTGATGCCTGAGGACCTTCTTAGGGTCATGCAAGGGACTTTGTGCTATTTGACGACTTAATCCCATACTGTATCACACATTGTTTTGAACTCAAAAGGGTAAGGTAGGGCCTCCTGTTTGGGAAAGTCAAGTTTAAGCTGTAATAGGAGGAGACTTTGGCTCGAAAGAAGGTTATGGCCCGGGGTGAACAAAAACTTCAGTCTTCAATACTAGGGTTACCATATTTTAAAAAGCAAAAAAGTGAAGAAGCAGCAGAGGAGGAGATTGGATTTATACCCCGCCCTTTACTACCCAAAGGTGTCTCAGAGCGGCTTACAAACGCCTTCCCCTTCCCCTCCCCACAACAGACACCCTGTGAGGTAGGTGGGGCTGAGAGAGGACATATTTCCTGGCTGACTACTTCAAACAAGTGATCACTATGCCAAATCCTATTTTAAATAACCCCTACTAGTTAAGCTGTGGTCATTGCTACTAGCTAGGAATATTCCTAACTTCTCAGCCCCAAAAGGACATTTTCATCAGTTTTTTAAAAAGAGCCCAAAAGAAGACAGACACCAAAAAAGAGGGTATGTCCTCTAAAAAGAGGACATCTGGTAACCCCATTCGGCACTCCCCTTGGACTGATCCAGAGAAGTAACATTTCTGCTCTCCCCTACTAGCCTGTTTGAAAGGCCTTTTCAGTTGGTTAAAAGTCTCATATATTTTGTTTTTATACTAGCAACATGAGATGTTCTTTGTATTTGAAGAACAGCTGCTTTATGTGTAAAAAAACCACATGAGAGAAGTAGCATTAGGGTGCTTTCTGGTATTCACCATTTTAATTTTAAAGGGCTGCATGGATTTTCCTGTACTTGATGGTTTCAGAGGGCGGCGCTCAGCTTTAACTGTGATTCAGGATGAATTATTCACATCCAGTTTAGAAATCTGCACTAAATTCTGTTCTTGGAGAGTTAAAGCTTCATTAGGCTGAATCCAGCAGCATGTACTCCAGTTAGGTCTGCTAAGACAAACTCTGTAATATAGACTTATCTCTTGCCACACAATGAAATATCAGTCATATGTCAGATCTTTTGCCAGCAGAACAGAACTTTTTTGAATTAATGACTGTATTTATTTATTTATTATTTGTATTTATACCCCGCCCTCCCCGGAGGCTCAGGGTGGCTAACAACATATAATTAATAACACAGTAAAACAGTAAAACAATACAAAATATTAAAATTGCATCATAATTTATAACCTATCTAAAACAAAGCTAGCTAAAACCAAGATGGCGGTCCATCTTTAAAATAAAGCCTATCTCTTTTATTAGGCCAGAACTTAGCAGAAACAGGTGCAAATTAACTCTGAATCCAGAAAAAAATACATGCGATAAAAAACATCAGATTTCTTAAATACATAATTACAATTCTCTAAAATGAAGACAAATCAAGTTTTAAGCTAATAGGCAGAATGCTATGTAAAATAGTCCCAGCTCACAAGACAGGATCACCAATATAAGGTTTGCTTTGACTGGAAGCTATTATCAGAAAGAAAGCCTGACTAGACCCTTACATGACACTTTTTAAAGAGGCCATGGGAACAAGGTGTTATTGTTCAGTTGCACAGTCAAGTCCGACTTCATGTCCCCATGAACCACATCGCGCCAGGCCCTCCTGTCTTCTGCCGTCCTCTGGAGTTTGCTCAATTTCATGTTTGTTGCGTTGGTAACACTGTCTAACCATCTCATCCTTTGCCATCCCCTTCTTCTGTTACCTTCAATCTTTTCCAGCATCAGGGTCTTCTCCAGTGAGTGCTCCCTTCTCATTTGGTGGCCAAAGTATTTGAGCTTCAGCTTCAGTACCTGGCCTTCCAGGGAACAGTCAGGGTTGATTTCCTTTAGGATTGACTGATTTGATCTCCTTGCACTCCAAGGGACTCTCAAGAGTCTTCTCCAGCACCATAATTTAAAAGCATCTATTCTTCGGTGCTTGGCCTTCCTTATGGTTCAACTCTCACAGCCGTACATTACTACTGGAATACCATTGCTTTGACCATACGGACTTTTGTTGGCAGGTTGATGTCTCTACTTTTTATTATGCTGCCTAGGTTTGCCATCGCTTTCCTCCCAAGGAGCAGGCGTCTTTCAATTTCATGGCTGCAGTCACCGTCTGCAGTCATCTGGGATCCCAGGAACATGAATTCTGTCACTGCTTCCATGACTTCCCCTTCTATTTGCCAAGGACGTATGGGGCTGGATGCCATGATTTTTTTTTTATGTTGAGTTTCAAGCCAACTTTTGCGCTTTCCTCTTTCAAATGATTGAAATCATGAGTATATGACACATCCAAAAAACTCCATGTTATACTAGCAGCCTTTCCACATAATCTTCAGCATTTTACAAGAGGGGCGTTGATGTGAACTTTTTAACTATTGTATTGTCACACCAAGGATTCATTTGAAGTATCACTATTGCATGATATCCATAAGTTGTTCTGTATCAGTCAAGGGATTCATTTATGCTGTAAGGTTTAGTCTGGTGCCGGCTTCTGAAGATAGCTATGTAAGTAAACTGACCACAGCAACTTTTGCTAACTATATGAGTTAATAGAATGAGTCAAATTTAACTTATGCTGCAACTCCCAATATATTCACTAACTGTTGGCTGGATAGACAATAATTTGTATGTGGAAAGAAACCCAGGGCAAGACTGAATCTTGCAGAGGAAATCAGCAGAGAGAGAACAAGTTACAGGTGTCATGGGATAGTTGTATACCAGCATTACACTGGTTTGTTGGTATCTGCATGCATGTGCCCTAAGTCAGGTGCATCTGCTATGGAGAGATTCGGGCTGCAATCCTAACTACATTTACTAGACAGTAAATCATATTAAAGCTGAGTGAATTATTTATTTAGAAAAATGACAGACCATTTCCTGGAGACCAGCTCAAGACAGTTGACAAAAAGCA